CCTCCGTTGGCCTTCTGCACTACTTCGTCCCAAATACACTTTTTCTTCTTTTTCACTAGTCCCTTCACCTGTTTTCTCTTGGCCCTGTACTTTTCCCAACACGGAGGGGGGGGGCGTTTAACAGGGGGGTGGGCAATTCGTCCGGGGGAGACGCAGGGCGGGCAAGGGGCGTGGGAGGGAGGGGAGAGATAGTACTCAAGTTGGACACGACTTATCTGGTGGTGGGAATATGCATCGCTTCACCCTGTTTCGACCATGTATCGACACAAAAGGAGAAGTTCCAAGCGACGTGCACGTGATGACTTGCCGTAGCAACGCTTCGCGTATGTTTCAGGTCACGAACGCACTCTACGGGATCGATACGTCCGAACAGGGCACAGACGGTACTTGGTCAACCATTTTCAATACCGTAGCACTTCCGGCCAATACAGTCGCGTGTCGTGCGTACTAACCGGACCAGATGCCACCCAGAGAGCGAGCGAAGCGGTTCATGAGTCCGAACAACGACGCCACGATACCAGCCTTGGAGGTAGACAGGTCGAACTCGTCCGAAAAGTAGTTGGCGGCCACGTTGTTGACGGTCAGCTCAACGCCAAAGCAGGCGGCGTGCTGGAGGAACATGAGCCAAGAGTTCACGTTCATGTAGCCCTGCTCAGCGAATTGGGGGGGGGGAAGGGGGGGCGTACTCTTATGTTTTACATGCCTCAGCGGTTAGACCATTGACCTCGCGTCCTCGAGAGGACGCAGCATTGTTCCCACAGGACCGATCACCGATGGCCAATCGTTCCTTTCTACTTTGCCAAAGGTGGCTCAAAAATGTCTTCCCTAGTCTGTCTATCCTAACGATATCCCTTCCCGCCTTTTCAACCCACCTCCTATGCCCCAGTACAGCTACCGTCCTTTCCTCTCTATTCCATGCCTCAAACATCTCCCTGTACGTTCCATCTATTTTTCCCAGCTCAGTCACGTACACTTCCCTCTCCTTCTTGTACAACGGACATTCCGCGACACCATGAACACGGTCTTCGTATTCTAAGCCGCAATCACATTCGAACTCGTCGTCTTCGTCGTCTACCGTCCTATGTCTTCGTCGACGTTCTCGAAGGCCTATGTCCCCGGTCCTGAATTTGACCTTAAGCTTTGTTCCTGTATCCATTGGTCCATGTAGGCAGTGCTTGAACCCTATTCCTTCCTTCAACATTACGTACACTTCTAGACCCTCCTTATCCTTGGATTATTTCCTTAGATTCTGTTTTTCTCTCTCGGCACAAGCAGCGAATGGGGGGGCGATTACAGGGAAGGCAAGGGGGCAAGCGAACGGTAAACGTGAGAGATGATGGATGGCATCAGCAACGGGTGTAGAATGGAAGAGAGACCGTTCCGCATCATGCTGAATAGTCACCGCACCACCAATCATCGCGCCGAGATGGGGCACACTGCAGTTCTGCCGGCAAACTCGACCATACTGAACTCTGGTATAGGCACGGAGCCAAATCCGCCTCATTTACCTTTCTGAAGGAGACGGCGGAGGACTTGCGAGTCATGGCGCCGTGCGCCTCGAGCTCCTTGTAGTTACCCTTCGGGCAGTCGTCGGCGAGGAACAGCTGGCCCACGGCAACGCAGAACACGATGGCCGCCGGCACGACGAACGAGAGACGCCACGTGGTCTCGCTGTCATAGCCAGTGTTGAAGGCGTTCCAGATTCCGACCATCAAGAACTACGTAGATCACACGAGGCGAGGAGGGATGGACGATAAAGGCGACTGTGAGGAGTAAACAAACACGACTTTCCACGTGCCGATGATGTGCCTGATGGACAAACCAACAAGCTCACAAGAACGGGTAGGGGATTATGCGAAACGGTCGGTGGGCGTCGGGGCGAGATGTAACGTTCTCCTTTTGGCCATGGACGGGGAGGGGATTAGGACCTGTGGCATGGGGGGGGAAATGGCGTGGGGAGTGCAGGAGGAGTAATGACCCAAGTATCTACAAAGTGAGATCCCTTTGTCCCTTGGGTAACTATTCGACATGGTCTAGATGCCACCTTTGGAAACAATCTTGTTCTCTCGCTCCCTTCCTATATTTTCTCCGACGCACCTGAGTGACACCGCCGCCCAGATTTCCCCAGCCTCCGGTAGTGGCGTTGGCCGTGCCGACGAACTCCTTCGCGAAGATCTGCGAGGACCAGAACTGCGTGCACACGAACGTGGCGCCCATCACGCCGATGAAGAAGCGGATGATGGCCACGTCGGTGGCGCTGTTCACCACGCCGGCGAAGGCGGTCGGGATACACCTCATGATGAGCAGGGTGCTGGAGATGATGCGCGCACCGAAGGTGTCGCAGAGGGGGCCCACGATGAAACTCGAGAGCACTGTGGAGGACACGGACGAGATGTTGGCGTTGTACACCTCGAGCTTGGTCATGCCGAGGTCACCCTTGATCTCCTTCATGAGGGGGACGAAGGCGAACCAGGAGACGAAGGCCATGAAGAATCCGAACCACGCGAAGTGGAAGGCTCGCATGTGCGGGCGTCGGAAGCTGGTTAGCCTTAACCTGGTGGCCTTGTCCTGCTGCTTGGGGTCGATGGGCACGTCATAGCTGTCGTCTGTTTGAAACATACGTTCGCAGAATAAGGTGGTGGGGAAAGTTCATTTGTCAAAGGACAAGAACAGCAGTCACAGACTTTCTGATTTTCGCACCGCGCCGTTCCTCGAGGCAATACACACGTTCAAGCGGACCCAAGGCGGGCGCCCGCGTCAGCTGGACCGAGTACGAATGTTTGGAGGTACTGAGGTGAGACCGGAACCGATATGATATGAAGACAACGAAAAGAAGTGGACTCCGAATCATGCATGAGAGTGTACATACTGTAGCACCGTATTCCAGATCGGTCACACATCAGCAAACAGACGTGTTCGGTAGGTGACCTCACAACCTGACATGAATCTGGACGTAGGTTCGAAACCCGCTGCAGTTTTTACACGTCCTGGGATTTTTTCTCACAACGTGTCAAACGTGGAGAGCGAAATTCGTGCGTCCATAACAATTCGACTTGACGGTCGACGAGGGAAAGCAATGGCTGGCTGAATCCTTCTCGCAAAAATCATCATCGCGAGGACCGCACAAGGAACGCGGAAAATAGTCTACTTCCTATGCTACGTGTAACCCCGGATGGCGCGTCCAGGATTGTACCGAAAGGCGTAACCAAAGATTGATTTTCAGACAACATGACATTACAAAAATGAAAAAAACTCTCGCGCAAGATGCGCGCACATCCAGATCACAGTTGGAAAAAAAGTATCTCGGAGAGCCGGAAAGAAGAAAGCCTTGTTGTAGCATCTATCGATCTATCGTACGTAGTGCATCTTGTGTGAGTTTGACGAAGTTTTTCCTACTCGATACACACATGACTAGACTAGAGAAGAGATGTTGTGCACAATAGCAGTGGCACCTATTGTAGGCATCACCGCAAACAAACGGCAGACTGCTCGCCCCGCTTTGTTCATCTGCAAAGACGGGCCGGCAGCTTTAGCACAGAGCATGGTGAAACACGGCGCAACTATTGTACAGTAGTAAAGCAGCGGCAGGGTCGTGACAAGCCAAAATCCCTCTGGCCAGTTATGTTATAGTGATGACGATGCACCCTGCGGGTGTGGAGTTTGAGAGGGAGAGAGAGAGGAAGAGAGAGAGAGAGAGAGAGAGAGGGAGAGAGAGAGAGAGAGAGAGAGAGAGATCACCGGACTGAGCAGTGNAGAGAGAGAGAGAGAGGGAGAGAGAGAGAGAGAGAGAGAGAGAGATCACCGGACTGAGCAGTGCCGAAGATCTCGACAGGCTCCTGCTGTGATTCCCAAAAAATATTTTCTTCCTGGCACAGACTAATTAGACTAGTTAAACTAGTCTAAACACGCGCGAAGGGGGCTTGAAAATTTTCGGCCGCCGATGCGGGAGAGCGGGGATCTCTTTTTTGTTCCGAAAGGTCTTCCCACCTTCCGGAGTACAGCAAGCAGAAATCTACAAAAAAAGTGTATTTCGGAGCCACCTTTCCAACTTTCCAACTTTGTAAATGGAGGCAAGAACATTTTAGCCGGCGCCCTAAGCGGCCTGCCGAGCTTCGTATGATGTACTGGATGCAAAACTGTATTCATACACAACAGAGTGCCGCGAAGCGTCGTGGTGGTCTACAACTGGTTCCTTGTGTGCGTGTCGATGTCGAAACGAGGAGCCTGTGGCATCAGACAGCGTTGGTCGAGAGGCAATTACAGTCGTCCCCGCTTTAAAGACGCTCATCTTAAGTCAACTCCCCGCG